AGCGTAACCTATTTCTAAGCAAGAAGTAGAAACATTCGCCAAAGTACATGATAGTTCTAGAAACAAGATAGCGTGAGAATTGTCACGTGATCTCGATGACGCAACAGGGCTTTAGTTACCATAAAACAAAGTAGCTGCATCATCAAAGTTGTTATTTGTAAAACCAAAAGCAGACAAATTGACAACACTAACAGGGCAGATGGAGTCAGAGAAAAAGTACTGGCACCATATTCTAGAGCACATTCTCTCCATCATAAAGTTTCTATCATCGAGAGGGCTAGCATTCAGGGAAAGTGATGAAATAGTCGGTTTAGTGCATAACAGTAATTATATTGGAATACTGGAGCTAATGGCTGAGTGGGACACATTTCTTGCTGAACACATTCAGAAACACACAATAAGGAAAAAGTTCATGTTTCATACTTATCCTCAACTGTTTGTGATGAATTCATAGAAATCCTACACAAAGAAGTTCTCACCACCATTATCCAGGAAATCAAATCACCCAAGTAATATTGAGTGTCTTTTGATTCTACTACAGGCATATCCCACACAGATCAACTGACAATAATCTTTAGATATGTTTTATATGATGACCCTATAGAGAGATGTGCTACATTTATACTTATAAACAATCACACAGAAGCATAAATTGCTACAGTACTCAGTAACTTTCTTGAAAAGAATAATATAAGAATTCAAGATTGTCATTGGCAGTCTTATGATAACACATCGAATATGAGTGGCAAATATATTGGCATGCATGCCTTTATCAGAGAGAAGAACCCTCTAGCAGACTGTGTTCTCTGCTGTGCTCATTTGCTCAATTTGGTTGGACAATGCACTGTGGACTGCTGTACTGAAGCTTGTTTATTCTTTTTCTTTGTTCATGAACTTTATGTGTTATTCTCAGCTTCAGCCTGCGCGTAGAAGCACCTACACAACGTGCTTGAAAAACTAGGGTTCCCAATGATAAAGTGATTATCAGACACAAATGTAGTGCTCATTCAGATGCAATGCAACTCTTAAAAATGGAGTACACAACCATAATGCAAGTCATCACTTCCATTACAGACAATGACTGTAAAGAGTATCAAGTGTGCTTTTTTTGGAGTTAAGAAGTCTTGTGCTACATTTGGAATAACTAGAAAAAGGTATAATAATGGAATTTTGGATCATTATCTTGGAGACATTTCACAAGACAAATCAATCATTATAAAACTCCCAAATTATATCAGTACAGCATTTCATCTGATAAAAATCTCTCAAAACATTTGTGCAGAAATTACAAGATTCGTTTCCTGAATATAAGGAAAAGGGTAAATAATTTTCAGGGTGCAAAAGGTCAAAGAAAAGTAAGAGAAATAAGCAATGGGATGAAAGGGATGCTGAGGACAGTGATTTTTTACCTTTTACTCAGTATAAGTTCAGACTTTCTTTACAATAATTGACAAACTCCCACTTAAACTAGACAACAAAATAATGGCATATCAAAATGTCAGTTGGAAATTTGTTTTTTATAAAATTTACAGAGTTCATGCCTATAGAAGACCTCCAAAATGACACAAAAACTGATTAATACATATGCTAAGGTCTTGGAGGGTTGCACAGAGGAAGAAATTGTAATAATTATTGTTCAATTTGATGCCCTTTGCAAGGCTGGGTTTGTTGAAAAACCATCAGAATTTAAGGAATAAAGTATGCTAAGAATGATATATTTGTGACTAATCTCCGAAATCAGTTTCCTAAATGTTCTGATAATCTTAAGGATGTACCTATGCCTTATGTCAAGCAATTTCTCAGAAGAAAGACCATTCTCAATTCTAAAAAGGATAAAGAATGCACTTCGATCCACAATTTACTGAAACTAAATGCAAAATTATGCTTACATGCTAAATGCACTGGCACTTTTGTATGTGATTTCCTTCTGTCCAAATGCCAATATTTATTGCATTAGAGTACCTCTTTTCCTATTCAAGAAATGTCTAATATTGTTCATTAATTTGAAGACTAGTATTGCATATCTGGTGGTATTATTTTCCCATTGTTTTCAAAAGTAAAACATATCTTGAGGGTTAGTTGTTTTTTTACCTTAGTCTTTAGTTACAATCATGATAGGCCCAGTAGAAAACTTTAACCTCAGGTACGTCTTACCCTTAATCTGCCCTTGTATGTATAAAAACTATTAGATTAGTTTATTAATGTGAATTCCAATCTTTATGAATTCCTTTTCTTTAATTAATGATTAAAATAAAATTTAGTTATAGTGTACTTTATCTGTAATCAAGTATTTGATTTCACAAAGTATGATCTGTATGGATTAGTGGTTGTTATAACTAGTAAGAAAACAAAAATGTAGTAACTAATATGCTCTCTATGATTGGTATTGAATGGAATGTGTTAAATTCATGTGTAAAACATTTTAACAGATTTCTTATTTTTTATTTGAAGTATTTGAAAGAAATTAAATAAAACTTTAATGAAACTTAAAATTACGTGCATCTTGGGTGCTTACAATGTATTGGTCTAACATGAATGCAAGCATTAATGAAATATAATTAATTTATGAGTTAAAAGTTGCCACAAAATTCAGAGCACTCATGTACAACAGTATTTGTGTACATAGGACAGAAGACTATTTCTCAATCTGTCTTATGGGGTGTATTACCTAATACAAACACAAATGACTAACCATGTTACATTTGATTAGATTTGAAAATATTATCCCATGATTTTATGCATTAGGTACAACTGTAAGCAAATTACTCCAATTTTACTCACTTGCAGGCTGTTGAAAAGGGCTACAAAAAACTAATCAGTTCATCAGGTGGAAATGCAGGGTTGGCAGTGAAGTACATTGCAAACAAACTTAACCTTTCAGCAACTATCATAGTACCTGAAGTTACATCACAGAATATTGTGGATGCTTTAGCTGGTGATGGCATTGATGTGATTAGGCATGGAAGTGTATGGAATATTGCTGATGAAAAAGCACAAGAACTGGCAAAGACTTTAGGTACTTTCTCAAAGTAGTGTTTGTATTTAATGATAAACTCTTAATGTCACATATTTTGAATTTCAGATTCTAAGTAATTGGTATATAACTTAATATTTATTTAATATAAATAAACAAAGATTTTAGATGCTGAAATTCAACTACTGAAACTATTTAACTCCTTTCCATGCAATGGGGTAGTTCATTAAACATCACTTTTGTTTGGTATTGGCTTCACATAGTATATTCTAAATTGGGAAATTTAACCCTTTTGTAATGGGTAGGTCAAATGAGCATGTCACAACCTTTTTTATGTGAATAAACTTGGCATCAAAATGTAATTAGTAAATCAAATTTTAAAGTTGTATAAGTTATAACTTAATTTTATAAGAAAATATTTAAACAAGTCCTCAATCTCCTCTAGTATGAAAATTGTGACATTTGCTCTCTAGGAAATTTTAATGAACAATAAAGCTCCTAGACAAGATAATATTTATCCAAGGGTTTTGAAGAAGTTAAATTATAAAACAAATGCAAGGTAATGTATATGGGATACTACACAGTATATGTGAGGCAGTTTGTTCTAATTTTTTGAATACTGAGCAGGTTCCAGAAGATTGGAGGTCAGTTAACGTTACTCCTATTTTCAAGGAAGGTAATAAAAACTGTCCCAGTAATTATTGGCCTATTAATCCTGCATCAGTGGTGGAAAAAGTTTTAAATAATCTGATAAAAGATGCTTTGCAAATTCATTTAACAATTTCAAATGTTGCTAGATAGCAGCATTGTTTCACAATGGGAAAATTTTGCCAAATATATTGTTACGTCTCCGTTTGTTAATTAACTTCCCGTAACTTCGTTCCGATGAAACTTTAGCGACACAAGTATTTACTTAATAAAACTGGTTTATTCTTTCCGAATATAACTTTACCGATACACTCAACTTCAACAATCGTGCTAAACAAACGCTGTAACGTCTCTTGTGCTC